GACATGTTGTCTTTGTCAATCTCTCCAATTTCCTTCATTCTCGTCTTTCATATACTTCAAGATATTCTGACCCCCAAAAAAGAAAATGCTAAGATATTGTAAATTTATGTATACAGAATTACAAAAACAAGTAGAAGAAATTAGGGTTTTCTTTGGAGAGTAGTCATGAAACGCAAGGAGATAGAAGATCAGATCCCTCTAGATCTAATAGTGGAGATTCTCTGCCATCGAAGTCTCTTATGAAGTTTCAATGTGTTTCCAAAATTGAAGTAAAGGTTTATAGTAGCATTCACTAACGGTGTATTCTTCAAGCGTATGGAAGAAAAGTGTTGTATATTTATTTCGACAGAGTTCGTTGAATCTCAACCGTTAGTTTGCTTAAAACCCATCTCTTCTCGACCTTTCCTTCTCTTTTTAGTTTAGCTCGCCCAATCAGGCCCAATCGTTGAGTGTATATATAAATATAGCTAGCAAGTAGCAACTGCTATTTGATTCTCTCTATTTGGACAAAACTCTGACTCTATCTTCTCCTAGTCTAATCTAGGGTTTCGTTGTTATTCGCCATGAAACGCAAAGAGAGAGATCATAAAGAAGACAATGAAAAATACTTTGTTCTTAACAACAAAAGTAAACTAGTTCTGATCCCACTTGATCTAGAAGTTGATATACTTACTAGATTACCGACAAAATCTCTTGTGAAGTTTCAATGCGTGTCCACGATTTGGTCTTCCTTCATCAAAAGCCAAAGATTCGTCAATTCTTAATACGCTATGTCCTCCACAACGCGATCTCGGTTTATGATCGCTTTCAGTAACGGTGCAATTACCAAGAATCATGACAAACGTTTGCTCATCTTCTCATCTTCCTACGAGGAAGAGGAATCTTCTTCTTTGGTAACCAAATTCGACATGACAATACCTTCATTGAGTTTGTCTGGAGGATCTAACTGTGCTTCTATCCATGGCTTAATCATTTGTAGTAAGGGTGGTCCATTCTTTGTTTGTAACCCTAGCACGAAAAAATTCGATAAGATATGGTCCTTACCAGGTAACGGAGGATGCACATACTTAGGATACGATCCGGTTACTGATAAATTCAAAGCATTGACAAAGATTAATTCTCCTTTCAGGAATCATGAGTGTATAGAGCATGAGATTTTAACATTTGGAAGAGGAGGATTACCTTCATGGACACGCGATAGTGTTATCACCCGCCTTATTACACTGAAACTAAAGGACTATGCATCAATGGGTTTGTCTATTATGGTGCTCGAACCCCAACTCGAGATAAGAATCTGGTAATTGTGTGTTTTAATGTTAGAGATGAGAAGATAAGTTTTATCAAAGCGCCTTTGAATGTTGTGGTTTGCGAAGGTGATTCGATATTAATAGAATACAAAGGGAAGTTAGCTTCTATTGCAAGACCCCCTTATGCTATTTCGATAGTTTTGATTTATGGATACTTGAGGATGCGAAGAAAGAAGATTGGTCCAAGCAAACATTTAAGCTTCCCTTTACTTTGGGGATGGGTAAGGATGTGTTTTCCCCGGGCACTAACAAGGCTGGTGAAATCATTTTTGCCCCGTTAACTATGTCTCGTGATGTTCAGTCTTTCTACATTTTCTACTACAATGTAGAAAGAAAAGATATGAGAAGAGTTGGGCTCCTAGGAAACTCCTAGGAATTGCAGATAGTGAAGAGTTTAGGCGACGTTATGGACTCGCAGGAGACTGTTGCGTCTATATTTCACCCAAACACGTGGAAAGTATTGCCTATCTATAATGTTTTTTTTAATGGATTTCTTGAAAGATCCTAATGTAAATGTAGGAGCTTGAAAAACTCTTGGTTTTTTTTAATATTTTTTGTGTGAATATTTAAGGGTTGGTTTTCAACACCAAGCAAACTAGTTTGTTATCTTAGGTACTAATGATTTGCATTTGTTAGCATGCATGTGAATGTTTAGTGTTGCTCA